ATATAATATAAGTTAGCTACTTGATATTAACGTAGACTTGTTTTTAGTTGTTGTCTAAATCCAGAGAGAATAATTGCACATTTGATATATTCGATTCTATTTGCAGATGTGTTTTTTACTGCCGTATTTCGCTGATGATGTAAAAGTTTATTTTCCTGTAGTGATGCTTACCTATACGCGCACAATGGTACCACTTTATGAGTTTGAATTTATTTATAGATTAACTGGAAATGTGCATATCTGTATATCAAATCCGAACCTCTTATATGCCTATACTTTGTCGTCGATCTGCCCGTGTTATACGCAACCTCACTATGTATTGTGGGTCATTTGAGTAAAGTAGCATCTTTGTAGCATCTTTGTAGTTCATTTTTGCCCATTACTGGTACTATAATCAGCAAATGCAGTTTTCTGTCATCGTCAAGGCAACCACATACCTTTGTCACTGATTGCCAATTAAATGTGTTGGTCAGCATCATATCCCAATAGAAATGTCACAGCAGGAAGAATTATCCTCTGAGTCGAGGCCGCAGTTTGTAAGCCCTGAAACCGAACACTGGGTTTCTGCTGTAGCCCCGGCTGCGATCGACGATGAAGGCGACCAACTGCAGTTTGGACAGGCATTCGAAGAGGACTTTCCGGGTGAGAAATCGGTTGACGTTTATGTATATCTATGGGATCTGTGGGGTTCAAGCTTTACAATATCCGAACAAAACATTGTTGTGTAGTGTATGCGCAAGGTTGGGGCTACTTATCAGGGTAGATATCTTTTGATGCGACATGGCATGGATGTATACAAGCTGTATGGCCTACGCTGGCTATACGACGTCACAAGCTGTTGTGTATTGTACGCTTAGCTCATATTGCTTCAAGTTACGGCTGTAGTTGCACAGATGATTCTCCCGAAGACTGCACGAGGATGTATATCCAGGATATATCTCCACCCATAGTCAATCTTTGTATGTAACGCTGATGCAGATAAGCGGGTGCTGCTTGGCTTGTTTAAAGCCACGTTCAACACATCGGTATGGTTGTAGTAGCTCAAGGTTGCTTGCCAGGGGATGAAAACCGATTATGTCTATAGTTTTCTGTGCTGTGTCACAATTAGCGTCGGCATATTATCGTGTCATTCGTATCACCGCGACGCTTAGGCTCAGATCCATTGGGAATGAGACCGTACGTCATTAGACTCTGTGCAAATGTGGTTGATTACTTATTGGATTGAATCGATGTGGCAGTCAGCTGCTATCCGACGTTGCAATCCCCAAAACCAGCAGCAAGCAGCGTACACGCCCCGGCAACTCCAACATCATGAATGACCCTGTTCTTGACACAGAGTCGCATTGCATCTTTAAGTACAAACGCAATCGTGTGTCACCTCTCACACTTTGGCAGACATTCAAGCTATAGACCATCTCTACATCCACCCTTGTATTCATCATTCACTTGCATACCACATGCATGGCCAACTCTCAGGCTCTCAAGACACGCTGGGCAATTTACCGCAGCTTGCACGCCATGAAACTCGTAGAAGTGATCGCCGGCTTAATTCTTTGTCGCAGACATGGTCGCGCATCTTGCCTGGTCCCCTTGATCCTCTACGAACCGAGGCGGATATGGCATCTGAAGGCATCGACTACTCGTTCAAGGATGTTTCGTTTAGTGTCAAGGTACGTTCATGCACGTATACTGTGTTTGTGCGGAGGGCTCCTGTGAGTGGCTGGCTTACAGTGCGCGTGTAAAGGCTCTCAGGCACTTCAACCCGTTTATCTTTATCTGTGTGTTTTGATATAAATGCATGTCAATCCATTACGATTGTGGTTCCATGCTTCCCAGGAATGATAAGGTGGTTAGAGCACGTGTGCACATAGGTAAGTGCCGAATGTATGCTCACAACGACTCTCAACGTACCTACAGGATAAAGTGCTGCTAGAACCACTAGATGGTTCCTTCCGCGGCGGAGAAGTGGTGGCTATAATGGGTCCCAGTGGAAGTAAGTGTCATACCGCACACAGACCCTGCTAGAAGATACATATACGTTGATCTTTTCTTATCAACGTAATGCTGTTTGTAAGAAAGCCGGTTTGTTTAAGCACTCGCCTTAGAAATTTATGCACAAACCTGTATGCCACTTCGTAAGCAGGACCTTCGGGCTGCACCTATCGTATTGTATATATCCGCTGTCGATGCAAACAAGGTTTCTGATCCGCGGCCGAGCGGTTTGTGGTCGTGTGTAGTCTCCCAAAGCCCAGACTGGGCTTGCGCGAGTGCATGCAACCCCTCAGGGTTAGATGGCGTGTGTATTATTCGACCCGAGTGTGCGTCTGTGGGCCCAATGCATGGACAACAAACTATTAGGCTTGCTTATGCAATCCGAATGCCTGGCGACTCTTCTTGCAGGTGGTAAGACAACCCTGCTGACTATGTTGGCGGCTAAGAAGACCCAGGGATACACGGGAGAGTTCCTCATCAACGGTCACCCGCGAGACACATCCTTGTTCCCAAAATACACAGCCTATGTGCCGCAGTCTGACTTACTCGAGGTAGGGAAGGGCGTGCTTGCTTATGTGTGGTGATGGGTGTCTAACAGGTAGGGAAGGGCGTGCTTGCATATGTGCGGTGGTGGGTGTCTTATAGGTAGGGAAGGGCGTGCTTACATATGTGCGGTGGTGTGTGTCTAATAGGTAGGGAAGGGCGTGCTAGGTAGGGAAGGGCGTGCTTGCATATGTGCGGTGGTGGGTGTCTTATAGGAGGAAGGGCGTGCTTGCATATGTGCGGTGGTGGGTGTCTTATAGGAAGGGAAGGGCGTGCTTGCATATGTGTGGTGGTAGGTGTATTATAGGTAGGGAAGGGCGTACTTGCATATGTGTGGTGATGGGTGTCTTATAGGTAGGGAAGGGCGTGCTTACATATGTGCGGTGTTGGGTGTCTTATAGGTAGGGAAGGGCGTGCTTGCATATGTGCGGTGGCGGGTGTCTATTCGTCTAGATTGAGTGCGCAATTCTGAAATTACGTTGGACGTGAACTTCGTCTCTGCTTAATTATCGACTTAAAGGAAAAAAAACTGACTCATCACTCTTCCAATGCTAGGCCAAGGGTGACACCATTGCCAACTTTTCGATAGGGGTTTGTCGTGCAATTGGTCGGTGGAAACCTCTGTGTACATACTCTAGGGTACAGCCTATCGCACTCATGTGCAAACACTGACTTGTATATACTTGTATGTGTGTAGAGTATCAATCCGTGATCAATGGTTCGCCTTCTCGTTTCAATGTTCTAGGGCCAAATCACGGTGCGCGAATGCTTCAGGTTTTACATTAAAATGAAGACGAGGTTGTCACCACAGGGTGTGGAGGACAGGATCGACTGGTTGGCCAAGAATCTGCAGCTGGAAAGCGTTTTGGACTCTCTCATTGGGGACGACCAAACACGCGGGATCAGTGGTGGCCAGAAACGCCGAGTGAGCATAGGTGTGTGTGTATGTATATGTATATGTGTGTATTCGTCGGGTATGTGGTAGTGTGGACATACGATGCGCTTTTGTACCCGTCATGCAATCCGTAGGGTCTCTCTCGGAAGGCCCACTCTCGCACATAAGTAAAGATACAGCGCTTGCGTATGCCGTCAAAGCTTGAACCCAATTCTCACCCCAGGTGTAGCTCCTGATTGGGCGATGCTTTGCCAAGTACGAGTTATAATTGATATACAACAGCCCCAACATACACGGGTACAACACCACTGATAGGCCTTCTGATTGTGTGTACTTGTCTATACCCAGCCAGCCAATGCCCTTGTATAAATCTCTCTCAATTGAACCTGTAATAAACAACATCAATACTGCTCACTCGGGTCGCTTATACTCAACTACGCCTTCTTATTATATACATACTTCTTATATACCTTGATCGTCTTATATATCTTCTACTTCTTATGTCTCACCTCCAGGCAAAGGCCTAATCTCCAACCCTATGATCATATTCCTGGATGAGCCCACTAGTGGCTTGTCGGCTACCGATGCGCACACAGTTGTAGGGTGTCTGCGCAATATCGCTAACCAGGAGAAGACGCTGATCATGTGTGTCATACACCAACCGAGATACAGTGTGTTCCAGATGTTCGATGAGCTGGTGTTACTGAGTACCGGTGGTAAAATGGCTTTTAACGGGCCAGTGAGGAATTTAGGGGTAAGGTGCTGTGCATATTTGCCTGATGTTGAAATTAGCTTGCATGGTTGCTCTGTGCGTACACGTTTTCAGCTGTTTGACAATCTGACAATATCTCACCCAGGCGCTTGTTTGAACTCCAATTCGGCCTCCTTATTCTCCAAACAGATCGGTCAATATCTCACCCAGGCGTACGTTTGAACTCCAATTCGTCCTTCTTATTCTCCAAAAAGAAAAGTAGCCGTTATTTTGATTGTATGGGTGAATTGCAAGTCCTATATCTTACATGTGATACTATCATGCCTACCCTCTAGTGCGAATAGGACCCTTAGTACCCAGTTGTCTCTACTGTGTATGCTGATTGGGAACATGAAAACTGCTCAACCGAGCACGCTATCCAGTTAACTGGGTGCTCAACGGTCGCTCTTGCGGTGTTCCCCACCTGTGACATCTCCACTTTCAGATGTACTTCGATAGGCTGGGATACATGGTACCTCCAAACGAGAATGCGGCAGACTACTACCTCGATATAGTCACCCGAGGCATCTCATCGGAGAATGATGAGGTGTGTTTGCATGTTTCAGAGATGAATGCGTACATCATGTCAGGACCTATGTCTTGGCCTACGTATACGTCTTGAATCGTGTGGTGAACAAATGCCTAGTTAAGCAAGTACCTATCAAGCGACTAGCTTTCTCGTGAATGCTTTTCAGAGTTCTAGTTGTTCGGTTTGTATGGCGCACCCTCTGCCGTCTCAATACAAAGGGGTGGTATTGGTAAGTACCAGCGACCCCCAGTGCACGGCTTGTTGCATTGAATGGCCAGCCGTTAGTTTTGCATACGTCATTCTGAACAGCCGTGGACTCATTGTTCATGATTTGTTTTATACAACAAATACATGTGTACTCTCACTCTGAATAGCGTCAGAGTACGCACAAGTAGTCGCCCGGAGTCGTTTAGTAAGTAACTTTTACAAGGGTCCCTTTCGCAAGAAATTCATACTTGCACACGACACCAGCACTCTTTACGTACACACCCGCTTTGATACTCATACCTGTGTGCCTATGTTCGCCTACCGCAGAATGTGAGTAATATCGTCGCGTCGTACAATGAACACATTAAAGGTCGCACACGGGCAAAGGTCGACCGAGTGAAGGTAGGGACGAATGCGGCGGAACTGATTACGCAGCTGGGAGCCACCGGAACTGTCAGTGATATAAACAGCCGGTACAACCGTGGATGGTACTTCCAGTGGAAGTATGCTTATTTTTAACACATATATCACACGGCTTCGGAATGTAATTGTAGTGACCTCGAATGGATGTCAATCGTGTCGGCTTACTATGTTTGTGCTTTTGCGACAACTCTGTTTTAAAAGTCACTGCCCTTGTAGTATATACTTTCGGCCTAGACTATAATCGAACACGTGAGCTACCTATCGCTAGCCTTCGGAGTTGCCGTCTATTGATTCTATCAGACTTCGTGTTTACGTAGATTCTACAAGTATCCCAATATTGGTTCTACTGAAAGTTGCCGCCCAACCCTATGTATTTGTCCAGGACTATTATCAGACAGGCAACTACCCTTCGCATGAGGAATTGGCCTGATATCGTTCGACGGCTAGTGACTTTCTGTGTAGCGGGCGCTTTGCTTGGTATGTTCATACCGTTGCGCTTTACAACCAACCCTCGGCTCGATTGGAGGTCAAGTGTGCATCGTACACACAGTACTTATATTTACGACACTGCGCGACAGGCATCTGGTCTGTAGCGGGGTTTTATGTTTGGTTATCACACGCTTGATCGCACCCGCTTGTGTACTGTACTGAATACCATGCGTGTTTAAGGCACTCTTCCTTGGCACCCTGGCGGTCCGTTGCATCTAAGGAATAAATTGATCTCCGCTATTTATGTTTGGTTAGCACACGCTTGATCCCACCCGCTTGTGTACTGTACTGAATACTGTGCGTGTTTAAGGCACTCTTCTTTGGCACCCTGGTGGTCCGTTGCATCTAAGGAATAAACTGATCTCCTCTATTGTCCCTCGCATTCTCGCCGTGCATCAACCAACCTCCAATCGCCAAATGCAATCCACAATCGCTTGTCCATCTTCTTCGACTGAGTGAGGCCCACACAGTAGCCACAAGCACCACCTGCGAGCATCGCCTCTGCCCCTGCCTGGCATCCCATTCCTTATGGCGTATCTATCACGTTTAATTTATGATACATCGAGATACAACTCCTCTCACACTTCTCAAACTCAACTCTCACAGGCCTGATTTTCCTTCGGGGGACCTACTTCATCGCCGGTGAAGCGCTGCGCTATCTGGCTGGTATTTTCACCATAATGGCGTTTGCAGGGATCTTTACGCTTGACCAAGTATGCCCGCGTCTCTCCGTGTGTCCCCTGTGCGTGTAGATAGATATGTGTGGAATGCGCTTCATATTATCCGCTCGTACGCATCTTGCTGTTTAATAAGTGGTTTGATTGTTTTAGGGTTTTAGTGTTTGGTCAGCCAGGCCCAGTCCTGGAGACGCATGCGCAACACATAAAACGATACAGAGTGCATTGTCAATGTGCTCGCTTGGGCGTTTTAAACGGACTGGTATATACGCACATAGTAGTACACCACTCACTAGAATTGCACACAAAAAGCGGTACGGTTCGCGCACACATATTTGTTTTTAAGTTGTGTGCATATATGCTGAAATGAAGAATAAATACCATGTTGTTGTAGATAGGCTTTTATGTACAGTGTAGTTTGGTTTCCCTCAGACAGGGCCCTGACCTGTGCTGATGATTCAGCTAGATGCAGTGAATTTCAGCAGACTTGGCCTTACACTGGTGTATGGTGTAGTCGGTCTTACTGGTACGTGGACAAAGGCAAGCCTGTCTGTGGGAATACTTATCTTTTTGTCATCAAAATGCTATCATATCAACAATAACTTCATTGAATCTATCTCTTTATGGTGAAACAATCATCTCAAAACTTTGCACCACATAAATCCCAGGCCATCTCGAACCATATCTATACGCTAAACCTACTCGTTGTCCATTGTATTCAGCTGCCTATGCTTATCGAACCCAAACGAGCGATCTATAAAAGTGATCGTGCCGATGCCTTCTATAGCACGGGAGCTTACTTCTGGGGCATTTCGGTCCCCATGTTGGTGGAAGGGTTTATCCTGAGTGCACTTCTGGCCACGATACAGGTACACATCATCAGTCTGTGTCTATAATGCCTGAGTGAGTGTCTCTGCCAATGAATGAATGCTAGCGTAGGAGCACCTTCCTTGGCTTCAGTACCACCTCGTAACAAATGCGATATGTGCATTTGTTTTCTCTGGATGAGTGTATTTGACCACAGCACACAAGCCTACACAGACATATGCCACCCGCCTCTCCCTCGTTGTATCGATAGGTATAAACTACAATATAAGGCATTCTAGAGCATAGTCCCAATTCGTAGGTATTAACTAGAATATAAGACGATATAGAGAGCTTAGTTTCAACTAGCAGGCATGTCCGTTACCTAAGCTCGTTTCATTGCCTTCTTCCTCTCCACAGTTTTGGATGGTGGGATACTCGAGCGATATCGGGGTGTGGATCTACTTCACATTCATCGTCATTCTGATGTGGTGGGTGACTGAAGGACTCATGTTCTTACTCGCCGGCGTGTGTGCGGTATGTGTGAATGGGCCAATGGGATAAGCTGGATGCACAGTGCAAGATCTACGGAAAAGCCACACACACATACATTCTCCGATTGATATTGTATGCTTCTGCTTCTCGCACACGGTACAACCCGCTTCGTAGGAAGAATTAAATGTGTGGAAGGTGATAAGTTGTGTACTTAACCCCCGCCGTCAAACGATCCAGCATATCTGTGCGCGTGCCTGCTCTCGCTCCAGCGATACAAACGGTACAATTACAATTCACAACAGAAGCGTTCTGGCGTGTAGTGTAATGTATATGCATTCACGTTTGTATTTCTTACGCTTTTTACCACCACCTCACAGAATACAGCACAGGCGAACGGCTTGACTGTCGCAGTCCTCGCGGCGTTCCTGGTGTTCTGTGGCTTTCTTGTGAATACAGGTAGTTGCTATGAAATATAATATATCCTCGACTATGGCCAGCAGATACCTATATAACAGATAACCACACTCTATCGCGCCCGGTGTATGAATATACAACCACTAAAGTGTTGCGCTAAGTCTACCTGTTTCTATGCAACAATAACCTGGTCCAGACTGGGCCAATTCGGCTGTCTTTGGTGGGTTTGTAATGTCGTTCGTGCGACCGTTTCTATCTGCATGGAGACATGTTTTGGAATAGACAGGCATACACTCATCAGAGCGTGCTACCCGCTCATGCTTAGCTGTGATTCTTAATTATCTCTTGGCCCTTTCCAACTGTTCACTGTAGAGCTTCTGTATTGCCACACTTGCATGTGTGTGTTCATTCCCGACAATAGACATGATCTTCTTTTCAATCCAACCTATTTTGTGTTCCATCCACTCGATGCTAACGCTGTCAATTGCGCATGTCCCTGTACCCCTCAGGTGCATCGCCAGACTATTTGAATTGGGCGTGTTACCTGAGTTACTTCTGGTACGGTTGGCAGGCCTTGTGCTACACCGTGTTTAAGGATTGGACTTTACCCGCCGATGCAGACCTTAGTGAGGAGTTCTTCCAAACCAACCAGGTGTGTGCGCGTATTGAATGGATCGACCTCTATTGTGAAGATATAAATCATGGTTGTCTGTAGATATATAAAATATGCATTCATGTGCGTATTGAATGGCTTCTATTGTGAAGATACAAATCATGTATGTGTGACACATAAATATGTGAAGATGTGCGTATGCGTGTGTGTATGTGTGTGTGCATGTACTCGGTGCAAAGTAAGTTCGATTGGGTGTACAAATTTATGTTTAGTCTTAAATGTTTCAAAGTGTTAGGGTTGAGAGTATACTCAGGACGCCTTCCTTGCCCAATCGTTGCACTTCCTTGACTTGTTCTTCTAGAATAAACCATTTCAGAACTCCTTGTTAACACAAAATCTTGGTTACCACTCCTACTGGGTGGTTACGCTTGCAGGAAGTTTTTGATACGTTTGGGATCGATGCCAGCCTGCACTACTGGTCCATCGTGATCATTTTGGGGTGGGGCATGTTGTTCCGTGGCCTAGCCATTCTCAGTTATAGATATCTTAATGCACCTAGTCTTTAAATTTTTAGGGCTAGCAGACAGGGCTCACCGCAAAATTAGTAAGCATGTGCGTGCTATGCACAAACAGTACAAATACTACCACAAGTTTGGTATTCAGCACTAGTAATAATTCAGTACGTGGAGTATACGAACAAAATACATTTAATATTGTAAAATTTAGATATCACGTAGTAAAGTCAATTGAGATGCACAAATAAAGTACAAATAATATAGCAGAGTTGGTAATCAGCACCGCAAATATAATACCGAAGTGGTATGGAATCCAGAAACGAATACTTATAATATCATAAATCTAAAAATGGTGGAAGCAATTAGTTGGCACGAATATAGTATAAACAATGCTGCAAATTTAAAAAACACTCTGTACCTGGCTTACACTCGCAAGGTACGAATATAATTTAATCGCAAATTGTTAACCATTTACTACTTGGTATGCACAGTGAAGTTCCAACAATACGACCAGTTTAGTTGTCATGTGCAGTATTTGGAATGCGCTGATACAGAACTGCTAACGCACAGACGGGTTTAAACACCGTCTCATGTGCCCAAGTGTGTCTGATCGAATGATAGGCACTGCGACGGTGGTAAGGAGAGCAACGCTAACGACACAGACATTGGTGTACTGTCATCTACTAAAATCGCCCTTAGTAGTGTTACGTAGCAATGATGTAGATGTGTGCGAGAAGCATACTATACTAATTGTACACTCCGATCCCTCAGACCATGCACTTACCCTCAATTCACATTTGAACGTACACTGCATGTCACAATACAGAAGCACAGCTTTATTTCCTATTTACGTATGTTCGTCATCTAATATTATCTATGTACACTTACCCTCAATCCACATTTTAACGTACACTGCGAGTCAATACAGAAGAACAGCTTTATTTCCTATTTACGTGTGTTCGTCATCTAATATTATCTATGTACACTTACCCTCAACCCACATTTTAACGTACACTGCGAGTCAATACAGAAGAACAGCTTTATTTCCTATTTACGTATGTTCGTCATCTAACATTATCAATGTACACTTACCCTCAATCCACATTTTAGCGTACACTGCGAGTCAATACAGAAGCACAGCTTTATTTCCTATTAACGTATGTTCGTCATCTAATATTATCTATGTATTTGAGGTATCCTGTACCCCATGCACAAATCCACGCACCCTGCAGAAGCAAGTTCGTTTTCTTAAACAATTGTTGGTAAGCACCTCTCTATCCGATTGTTCTGTGTCCTCTAGTTTGTGCGAGAACTCTCACCCGATTTCGAATCTGATCTTGTATAAATCCCCTCAGCGTGCACTATACACGCGACAGAACCCCAAACGAGCGTGTTGCTGCACACAGCTAGTGTGTGTCCAACAACTTAGCCTTATGAACATATACACACACCGTTACACTTGCATTATTGTGTACATGCTTCCCAGAGAGTGGCGTACACTATTACTTGGTTTCGGCAGAGGAAGGCGCTGAAGCCTTCTTAGACTCTTCTAGAGACCCCAAGTCGTTCATAACCTCTGCCAGCATTTGATTGCACATCCGTGCGTACGGGTTGAGTGCTACAAGTTCCTCTTTGGCCTGGATGTTCCCCAGATCGGCTGCCTGCGTTAGCATGTACAATGGAGTACTATCTGTGAGTCTTGCGAACCCCATATTGAAGCATACGAAATCACGCCGCGTGTCACACTGATATGCATAACATTTACTTCGAAACTCGACGACGATATGCAGCCCGTAATTCAGATGTACGATTCTCGCGATCGCCAAGCATGGTGCTAGCAATGCTAGCTCTCCAATACCAGGGTTCACGTTGAGAGATTCGAGCAAGACGTGGTACACTTTGCCGGTTGCCCCGGCAGCACAAACACAAACCAACAAAACACACACTACGAACAGTACCTTCTGGAAATCGTCACGCGCTTTATCCTCGTCCCTGCGAAATTTATAGAGAGCCGCTCTTTGGAAGTAAGCCTAAGGTTGTGTGAATAAGATACAAGCATGTTTGTGTTAAAAGACCAATACGATGGGAGACACCGTGGGTGACCATAGGTCTCAGTTAGCCTTCATGAAACTCTATAATTAATTAATGCACATTCGGATTCTAGTCTATCGCAATATTAAAGACTTGGATGTGGGGACATACGACCACTGCGACACACCGCACTATATGGAGAACGCAAGGCACCCTGCTGAATGAAATGAAAGCTATATCGTTGGCACAGACCACTACCCACGATAAACTCGAGCCTACAGACCCTCAAGGTAAAAGTGGAATAAACATACATTCTCGGCCACCTTCCCCTTTCCCTCTGACAATTCAATCGCCTTCGTCAAGTCCTCCAAAGCCTCGTCGTCTTTCTTCAGCAGCCGCAAGACTTGTGCGCGGTTGTTGTGTGCCGATGCATACGTAGGCACCTTCACCAGAACTTGGGTGAGTGCGGCATACGCTTCTTCGAGCTTACCCTCTTCCGCGAGTTTGATAGCAGCCAATTCTTGTGGCATGATCTCGTTCTCTTCCTTACTCAGTGGTCGAGCAGTCATCTTTTCATCGTCGGTTGGTCGAAAAAGCATGTTAGGGTCATGTTGCAGCACTGCGAAGGGAACAAGTACATAAATGTGTCAATGTACGAAAACGTTATCGAGTAGATACTGCAACAGTAATAAATCGGTGAACGTATATACGGTATGACGTCAGATTAAAAAAATACGACGCGTGTAATTATATCAAGAAATATTGGGAACACAGCTCTATAAAGAGAAAAGAATACCGGATCGGACGAATAAACTTGGCTCTACATACCAACTGTAAATACAAGTGTATATATATATATATATAAATTAA